GCTCATTATTGTTTTGTTAAAACTGTCATCAGCTGTACAGGACATCAAACATAATCTTCCACTGACATCGAAGCGGGAAGCGGAGTAGGATTTTATTTTATTTTTATTTTTTAAAACACGTTTGCTGTTCTTCTTTATCAAATATATCTCGAGGAGATTTTAACAAGCTGCGGCTAACAAGCTCATCTTTTATTTATGATCATTTGTAATAGACACAATAACTACGGACTGTAAAAATCTTAATGCATGCAGGGTTGAACTACGATGTCATTTGATGACCATGTTCCASTTGTTTCTCTTTTGTGGTTAAATGACGGCACTGCCTTGCAGGTTACCGGTGYCAGGTTCCCAATGTACCATTACTGCTTCCAGTTTGTCATCGATGTTTCAGTCTTCATTGCCAAAACTGAACTTGAAAAAAAAACTGAATAAAAAAACAATACATGACGGGAACAGCTTTGATTTCTTGAAGCGGCACAGAACTGCCACGCTTATCAGTCTGTGTTCATCACCACTTCTGTAGGTTCATATGAATGCGACACCCTTGGCTAAGTGTTTGTGCTTTACGTGAGACTTCAGWGAGTGTGACGTTAAACAAGACCGACAATGGCACCTTAAATCATACATCGCATTCAACCAGGAGGCAAAATGTCATTAAGTCAGCTCAAAAAGTGTTTTTGTTGTCATTCTTTCYCTGATCACTATTAATGTTTCCGTTTCCATTAAAAAAAGGCAATTTGTTTTACCGCAAATGTTTTTWTTTGTCTTGTAGAGGTAACTCAACCCTTTAAAATGGTAGTTCAAACCTTTTGAAGTGGAAAGATTCTAAGCGAACAGTATCTTACCTGCTGCAGATGGATCTTTTAATGGAGAAACAAGGTTTGATTCTAATCAGACTGATGAGCTAATGGCTAGTCAGAGTGGGGCCTAGACCAAAGTGGATTACTGCTATCTTAAAACAGCAATAACATTAGAAACTTCACAGGTGGTTATGCAGAAACTGTTTTAAAATGTCAATTTTGCATTATGCAGAAGTTATTGGAGAAAATTTCCAGGCAACTGGCTGCTGTTGCTACTATTTTATGTAAATCACCATTAAATGTGAAATCAATGTAAAGTTTTAAAAATAAAAAAATAAAAAGATGAACTGCTATAAAATATTTGAGACTGGAATTCAAAGACACCATTTGGGTCATAGCTCATTAATCCATCAGAAATATTCTTATTTCTCCAAACTGAGGTTCAAATGGCTATCTGCAACAGGTAAGATAGTACTTGTTCATAACCCTTATCACAGAATCCCACTTCAAAAGATTTGAACTATAATTTTAATGGTTAGACCCGCTCTATTTTTAATAACTTCCTTGCTTTGATGCATCAATCTTGGCTGTTTTCAAAACTCCTCAGTGCTTTCTTTTTTTTTTTTTTTTCCTTTTTTTTTCTTTGCCTTGACACTTGCTGCTAAGCATTAGGGCTAATTTGGAGTGACGTTAATGGAAGTAGATGAGACTGATTAGACAGCAGCCAGAACACCAGAGAGGCAAAAGGGCACAGAATGGTCAAGGAGAAACCGCTGCACTCCAGATGTTCTGCGCAGATTACACATGGAGGACGTTCACCTCCCAGACAGAGTGTTAGAGATGTTAACATTTTATGTACATACTGTACAAGTCAGACTCTGTATTTTCTGTTTTGGGTGTTTGATTTTTTTCCCTTCCTTCTTTGTTTTGTTTTTAATCCACCTACTCCATGGATAAAGAAAAATGCTGTGTGTTGTAAATAAAACGAGTGCATAATGAACGTGTCTGACTTTCACGCTCTCGCACAAACATCTAACTCTATTTATTTGTCAAAGAAGCAGCTCAAATTAAACGCCTGACATTCATATCGCCCACCAGCTTTTATGCTAAKGTTTAAATAAAGTTTTGGCTAAATCTCTTCCTTTCTAACAGTCATACAGTGTTGACTCTAACAGTGCAATGTTTCAACACAGTTGACAACTCTCAGCTACTACCACACTAAATTTTAGCTCAGCATCTCTTAAATGGGCTGKGTTTTACTCATTGATGTGTTAGAGCTGCCRGTCAGTGGAAGCCATCTTGAATTGGATAGACTCCAAAAATTATAGTTACTTTTAGAGATTAAAAAGATTAATTCAATGGATTATGAGATATTTTGCTAACACGACAGAGGAACCCAAACACGCACAATAAAAACACAATTGGAAGTATAAGAAAACGTTTTATATAATATTGATAGATAGTTTATTTAGAAACTTTGGAATAATWTTTGCACAAAATGTAATGAACACCAAGCTAAGATGCAGTGAGGGATGAGCTACGTGTTTAAAACTAATGTTTAAAGCCAAGCAAAGCAGCGCTAAATATAAAGTTTTATGTTTAGGCAGAAAATATTATTTGTATTAATGTATAAAAAACACTTCCATGCCACATTGTGCGGAGGCTTTTGGGGGGCACATCTTCTTGTTGCAGATCTCCTTAAAGCCTGACGCCTGGGTCAGCCCACTTCCTGTTTAAGCAAAAATAAATAAATAAAGTGATTGACAGTAACGTTTGATTCGGTTTTTATGTAAGTTTTACTCATACCATCCATGAGACTGTAGATGAGACAGTAATCATTGGGGCTGGTGGTATTTGGTGACATAGTAGTGGAAATAACCTGTGCAGGGAACATATTGGCATTTTAAAGCAAACATATTGTCAAAAAAATTACTTCTGCACCCAAAAAGCAAACCCACCTTTATTTTGCAAAATTGTTTGGCTGCAGAAGGGCCAAACATGAAGTGAAAGTTGGTGATTTTGCCAGTCTGAGGAGATGTGTGCTTAACTTCAAGTTCTTTAGGAGACTCGTTCATTAACTAAATAATAAAAACATAAAAAAACAATAAACTAGAGTAACCATTTTCTGCAAAAGGGCAGTGTGAGAGGTGAATGTTGGTGAAAGTTGCTGAAATCAGCGAGAGGAGCTGAAAGCAAGTTGCTAAAGCTAAAAGAAGCAAAAAAGAAAAATGTAATCACCTCATACATGCACCTCTCTGGACCGTCCCGACACTTCTTGGAGCTCCAGGACTTCACCTGCTGCACCAGGTCACCGACAGGTTCAGAGCAGGGCAACGTAAAAGTCCTGGGAGGAAGAATAAAATATTCAACAGATCATCTTACCCATAATGTGTTTTTATAGAACAAGTGAGGCTGGAAGCATCCATACATTATCTTTACTCACTTCTCCCTTCTGGGTCTGGGTGTCTGTGTCACGCAGTCGCTGGTGGGGTTCACCCTGGACATAACGCAAGGCTGGTAGCGAATATTCAAATAAAATTCCCTGAGTCACTTACCACACCACGATGCATTTAGCTGGCTGTGTAGCTGAGGAGGCAGGAAGAACAAGCTGCAGACAGGAAGCACAGATGAGCAGAGCTCTCAGAGTCATCATGGCTGCAGCTGGACTGGTTTCTGCAGACTGAGGGATTAAACAGAGCCTGTGGTTTGCTCAGTGATATCATGCAACACTAACGAGTATGAAATGAGTTAGACACGCGACTAAGCAGGATCTCTGGATGGCCTATAAAACAAAAATCCCCGCCCTCGTGACTTTGGTGATTTTCTACAAACAGAACTCTTTATAGGATTCAAAGGTGAGCGAGCAGACCAGGATCTAAAGTTTTTTTCTTCTAACGGCTTCAAATGGTTCAAACAAAATTTAAATTGTGCGTCTATATTTTTTTCAGAATACTTAAAAAAACAGACCCATTTATTTTCCTAAGTGATTGGTAATAAACCCTGTGTTTTTTTATCTTAGCATATTAATCCAAACAAACTAATTGCTAATATTAACATTAAATATTATAACATTTTTTATTAAAATATACAGTTTGTTCAGTTAGTTTTTATAATTAGACAACAGCTAAACTGATTTAAAATTACTCATTTTTTAAGGAGTGTTTAAATTAATTTTAGTTTCTTAAAAAAACCTCAGAAGTACCAATAACCTTGATTACCTTACATATTACCTATACATATATAAATAAAGAGGGTTTTTTTTTACTTCATTGCAGCATCTGTATTTCTGGGGTTCAACCTCCATGACAGTTTACTTGTGAAAATGAATTTATG